CTCAAGCCTTGCAGAAGAGGCAAACAGCCTGAGCTGCTGTCCCTGACTGGTCTTCACTGGGGAGTGGGTGTGCACCAGGTGAGCCAGCCAGGGATTGAGTCGTCAGCCTGGCATTTAGGGACATATGGGTCCCTAGAGATTCAGACTGTCACTCCGCACAGTGGCCTGAAGGAAGGGGAGAGGATAGGTAAGGAGCTCGCTCATGGTTACATGTGCTGGTCCTTCTGACTCCCCACAAGCCCATGCTCAAGGCCACTTGGATGAACTCAATCCACTCCCACCCCCATGGCATTAGAGACTCCAGCGAAACCACAATCTGCTTGTTCCCAGGCACGGGAAGGAGAGACATAAAAACACAGCAATAGGCACCCGAGGAGAGATTCCCAGTTTGCCATCACCATTCCCAACCAGACAACAAACGCAGCTGAATAACTTTCCTTAAAAACAGGATGGGGCCCTCTTTCCTAAGCTACTTGGTTTGAGCCCAAGTTGACTGTGGACTGAGCCAGGACCACATTTTCAGATTATGCAGGTGTTTTTGAAGACTCTCCTCTGAGGCTCTCATAGACACCAAGCAGAGATTAAAGAAGAGGAAAGAACCTTTCCTGGAATGGATGCTGACCTAAGGACATTCCCATCACCCAGGAGCTAGAAGCAAGACACGGATCCGAAGACCTTAGCAAAGGAGCTGGCCTCCCTCGGGTTGGTGGGACGGTGTCTCTCCAATAAGCATGATTTTGTACAGCCAAGAGATGGGTTCCTCAACACCCTCCCCCAGAGACATCGGTACTACACCTCCACTGCCTCCCAGCTCCCTCCCTGAAATCCAGGCTGGCACCTCTTTTGAAGTTTAAGTGACTACAAATGGGGGCTTCCCTGGCGGTGCAGTGGAGAAGAATCTGCCTGCCAACGCAGGGGACACAGGTTCCATCTCTGGTCTGGGAAGATCCCACATGCCACGAAGCAACTAAGCCCGTGCACCACAAGTACTGAGCCTGTGCTCTAGAGCCCGTGAGCCACAACTACTGAGCCCGCGTGCCACAACTACCGAAGCCTGCATGCCTAGAGCCTGTGCTCTGCAACAAGAGAAGCCACTGCAATGAGAAGCCCACGCACCACAACAAAGAGTAGCCCCCCACTCGCCACAACTAGAGAAAGCCTGCGTGCAGCAACGAAGACCCAACATAGCCAAAAATAAATAAATAATTTTTTAAAAAATGACTACAAATGATGCTGGCCTCTAATCCCTGCCTTAACCAGCGAGGCCCATATGTCTGAGGCCCAACCAACTTTAGACACCAATATACAAAGGAAGAGGCTTGGTCTGCAGCTGAATAACCTGGAATTCACACGTGAGGTGGTATTTCTTCAAACCCCTCCCACCCCACCCCACTACCCCAAATCAGGACAGCAGACAAGCTAAATGAAAGCTCCCCTCTAGAAACTCCAGATGGAGGCTGCAAAGATGACAGCTTCGAACACATGCTTTTAATTACCAGTGACACAGTGAAAGCTCTGGGAGCAAATCCTTTCCACTTCCACCACCGAGCTGAACCTAGAAGCTTCCCATCTACGTAAGACCTCTCCCAGGTGGGTATTCTTGAGCCAGGATACATGCCAGCAACAAGGGTTTGTCCTACACGCCTTTCCAAAAGCACCATACCCAGATCACAATTCAGAACCAAACCAAACACTCCCCGGGCCCAGAGCACATATCCTCACGGAGAAACCGTCTCTGAGGTCCACCTAGCCCCTGTGAGAGGGACCCAGGCCTATCCCAGCGCCTGCCCGCTCATGTGTCTGTGCACGTGTCTATCTGTAGGTCTGTAGCACGCGTACACGCGTGCGCGCGCGCGCGCACACACACACACATGCACACACACACAACCAGGCACCAAGCAATCCATCTGTCTCCGAGAGCCGGCTGTCAGAAATGAAAGTACAATCTCCTGGAACCGAGTCACAGCCTTCTAAAAATGTGCCGTTTTCCCAGACTGAGGAAACTTGCAGGGGTGGGGTCCGTTTCACTGCGAGTCCCAGAGGCCTGGCCTGTCGTCTCCCCGGCCAGCCCCACGCTGCAAGGCTGGAATTCCAACCTGCAGCCAGCGGGCTGGCTCCCAGCGCTCCTACCCACCCACTCCCCTTCCTCGCAGGAAAGGGAAGGGCCAGCCTTGGAGTCACCCCGGCATCTCGGGAGGGGCGAGGGGCGTGCCTTCAAGCACACCCTCACCCCCACCCCCGAGGCACCACATTTTCACATTCGGCTGTTTTTTTCTTTCCCTTCTTCCCTTGCCAAGAGAACCAAGCCCTGGCTCCCGCTGCCGACCTTCCTCCCACCCTAAACTGAGCCCCATTCATTAAGCCCGATCTCGGCCAGGACAGGAAGGAAAACAGCACACAGGGCCCGTGAAAGAGACACTCAGAGAGGTGATTTCCAGGGGGGAGGCGGGGGCAGAGCCCTGTGGGCACCTTCCCCGCTCCCCGCCGTGATGCCCACTTGGCCTGGCGCTCGCCACAGCAGGCTCCCCGCTCCAGCCTCCCTCCCCTCCACGGCCCAGCCCCCTTCAGCCACCACAGCCCCCCACCGGCTTCATCCTACGCCAGGCAGACACACCCCGGCCTCGGCCACCTCCACCCCCCAGCCCCATGGAAAGATCAACTTCTTGGAAAGGAGGTTTGGGCTTTCTCCATTTGCAAAACCCTCCACCCTGGACTCGAGCCACCACCACCATCTTTTGGGGGGGCCGTCTCGCGGCAGAGGGTGGAGCCCTGGGTTTTCTCAGGGCCTATCGCCTCCCCTCCAGACACCCCCAAACCACTGGCACCAACCCAAGAAACGGTTTCTTCAACTTCCCCCCACGGCACATTTTTAATAAACTACTCCCGACTCTGAACGGAAAGAGGAAAGAGTTGAAACTTTGAAGCCTTGGGAATTAGTAAATCAAGAGCTAAAATTCAAAACAAATGCTCTTTTCATGTGGAGCCCCCCGTCACGTTTTTTTCTTCTGGCAGTTTTGTTGAACGACGCTATCCCTTCAGAGACAAGCACTCCTTCCTAGCAGCTCCTCATTCATCGAAATGGCTGCAGTTACTTTGGGGGTAGGGGAGGAGTTCATCATTGCTTTACCCCCAGTTTCTTTCTAGGACTAGAAAAACTCTTGGAAGCCCACCCGTCTCAGAAAGGGCTGCACTGTCACACTTTTGGCTCTGGGGGGCCGGGTAAGGAGGCTGATGGCTCAGGCGGGTATCGTTACTTCCTCCAGCAGAGGAGGCAGACAAGATGTTATCAATAAGACAAACCTTCCGAAAAGCCCCCTTTCAAAAGCTACCACTTCCCTTGCTTGTTTCATGTGGTTCAGAGGGGTTGGGACTCCTCCCTGCACATTCAGAATCTAAAAAATAAAACCCTCTAACAACATCCTGAGCGTGCTATTTTGCCCAGACCCTTTCCTCTCCTTGGCTTTCTTTCTTTCCGGAACTCTCTCAGCCTTAGAAAGCAGAAAAGACACAGCTCTCATGTCCCGGTATGTTCTTCCCTCCTCCACCGCCATGGTCCACTCCCATTCTCACCCCAAGCCCCTGCCCTTTCTGGGTCCCTCTTTTTTCCTGCTCAGCTCTCATTAGGAGCTTTGAGTAAACAATATCCTCTGTCTCTGATAACAGCCAGAGTATATACTGCACTGAAATCAAAACAAACAAGGGTCTCCCTGAAGACATTCTCAGCAAGCTCAATTCCTGCAGAGGGAACTGGCTAGGATGAACCGAGCCGAGGTTGAGCGACACCTGACCGGTTAAAAGTCACAAAAGAGGGTGCACCATGGTCCCCCCCAAAGACAGTTGTTGGGTTTTTTTTTTTTTGCAGTACACGGGCCTCACTGTTGTGACCTCTCCCGTTGCGGAGCACAGGCTCCGGACGCACAGGCTCAGCGGCCATGGCTCACGGGCCCAGCCGCTCGGCGGCACGTGGGATCTTCCCAGACCAGGGCACGATCCCGCGTCCCCTGCATCGGCAGGCGGACTTCTCAACCACTGCGCCACCAGGGAAGCCCCAAAGACGGTTTTATAGCTTCCATCGGAGTTGCCATGATCCTACACCAATGTCCCAAGGGCCAATGCCCAGAACTCTGCTGGATTTTCTTTTCTTTTCTTTTCTTTTCTTTTTTTCCTGGATTACTTTCCCTCTTGTTTTAGCTAGTTCTTAGAAAAATCCAGTGATGGCATACTGGGGTGGGAAAAACAGGTGGGAAACAGGACATATTTAGAACAAAATGGAAATGTCTCCCACTTACATTGCTAATGAGTTTCTCCAAGTTTATCACTCTCTTCTCCTGTCTCTCAGGGACAATGATGTTTAGGCTCCCCAGTGCCCCTCACCCAATTCCATAACTCTCCAGCCTGGGAGTCCAGGCCCCTGCTCACACCTGTGGGCCCTGAGGGACACCTTCCCTGCTGGGTAACAGTATTAGCACCTACTGTCGGCAGTGTCCCCACCCTGGCCCTTCCATCCCCACCATGCACTGCAGACTCCTGCACGAAGCTGGACTGGGAAGCAGGATTTGCAAAGAAGCATCGAGGCCACATCTACTCTAAACTCCCATCCTACACTTGGGATCTGTCTTCCACAAGTTCCCAAAAGGTGGATCCATTCCCTTCAAGGCACCGGATGCACTGAGAGTGAGAGCAAAAAAGGGCTTAAACCCGTGAACTAATGACACCAAAGTCACCAAGTGGAAGCCCCTCAAGTCGGGAGCTGCTTAACAATAACCACGAAACATGGCCCAACACCAGCCCGCCGGCTGGCCCCCACTTCCAGATCTATGGCCCAGAAGGACGAGCTGAAGGGCAACAGAGTCATCACGGATACATCCAGTTTCATGCACATAAAAGTGAGAATTAATTCCAGACCAGCTGGGGTGGCAGAAGGCCACCTCCATTCCTCCAGTCTCCAGTCATTTCAGGAGGTCTTCGAATTGCCAAGAAAGTAAGAGAAAGCAGCTCACCTGAAAGCCCCCCAGGGGCCAGATAATTCGTTCCCCCAGTTTCAGCGGAGGAAGGCACAGCATCTGGACAGTCTGCTGTGGATATGAAGAGAGAAATAAATAAATAAAAACACCAAGATTAATTTTTAAGCACATTCTAAACAGCATTAAAGAGAAACCACACATTCCAAACGGGTGACTCCCGGCCGCGATGCTGATTATTAATGGGCTGCTCAGGCTTCGCTACCCATCATAAGACAGACCACAGCACCCTGTCACCCGTCTGGGCTCCGGGCGGCCAGTTAATCATTAGTCAAGACAGACTGGCTGGAATTTCTCTTTTACTGAAAGTCCCCCCATTGAGGAAACCAGGTAGTTCCCAAGGTCAAAGGACGCCCGGTTCCTCTCAACCGAGGCTGCTGTCTCTCCACCATCTTTTCCCAAAGCATGGCCTCTCTGCTTGGATCCAGTGGCCTCGCTGCCACTCTCATCTTCTTAAAGACAGACTTCCCAGTTCTTTAGGAAGAACTGGTGTTGGGCTGAAGGGACTTCTTTCTTTTCAACGGAGGTATGATAAGTATAAAAAAAATACAAATCTCAAGTGCAACTCGATGAAATGAATTTTACTCATGTACACACCTGCGTGAACAACGCCTCACGCCACATCAGGACAACAGAGAACATTTTCAGCAAGGCTCCCTAATCCAAACTCCCCATCTCCGGAAAGCCTCCCAGGCAACCCCAGGCCTGCAAGGCTCCCTGCCTCAGTTCCTGTAAAACCTTTCTGGCACCCAGTACCTGTAATTTCCTTCGGCTGTCTTTATTGATTTTTTACCTTCAGATCCTGTCTGCCTGAACCAGACTATAACCTCCTAGACTAGCACCCTCAGGTGCTCAGCACAGTGACCTAAATGTTCATGAGGATAATGCCAATTCCAGATGAGAAATATATAGACTTATCAACCTCCCTCCAAGCAATTAAAACAAAAAATAATGGCCACGAGCCACAACGAATTAGTCCCACGAAACAAAAATACACAAGACCCCATAAGCATATCATGCACCATTGCCAATGCCAAACTTACTGAAATCCATAGAGAAAGGCCGGCTCAGGAAAGGAGCGTCCCAGCTCCAAAGTAAAAACACCGGGTCAGATGGTGCAAATTCCAGTCCCTCCACCCCAGGCCACTAGCAGGATGTCCCTGGGGGGGTGCGTTACCAGTTTCCCCCTGGAAACACTTGGCCAGAGAGGGCGAATAGGAAGCCAAGTGAAAGAGTAGTCCAGGGGCAGGTAGCCACAGAGCTCTCTAGGGGCCCAGCAGCTGTCTCCAGTGCCTGGTAAAAGGGGGGAGGGGCTGGGCCACTCAACTCTGAGGTCCTCTCTCTAATACCCTCTCTTGCATTCTCTCTCATGCTGGAAGAACAACTTTTCAAGAATTCTTCTAAACAGGGAAGGAGGAAGCAGAGGAGTGGCAGCAACGGGCAGGGGAGAGAGAAAAGACTGTGTGGGGGAATTTCACTGTATCAGGGTAAAGCTTGATTCCTAACAGGAATATACAGTTTTACAGGATACACTTAATCAAATGGAAAACAATAGGGGCAGGCAGGAAATGGAGTTGCTGGTTAAAGAGTGTATAGCCTGCACTTTCTAAACCACTTCGATGGCCTTCACTATGCTGGAGATTGGCTTCTACCTACCCCGCAAAGGGAAGACACCCCCATGATGACTTACCCGCGGCCACTCCCTCCCTCCCCCACCAGCTCTGGCTGGCTGAATCCCAGGCACAAGGTGTGTTTCAAAGGAAGAGCCCACATCTCGGGGCAGAGCTGGGACCACATTCAGGGCTGTCAGCCTGTCTCAGATCAAAGGTTAAGCCAGCTGCACACTGGCAACCACAAGCATTTCTATGAAATGGTGCTCTGCCCTTTGTGCAGCGCCTTTGATCTCAGAAGGGATTTGCAAACATTAATTAAGTAGCAAGGTATACCTGTTTGACACGTACCCAGGTAAACTGAGGCATCACAGGGTAGTCCAAGGGGCCACCCAGTGAGCTGGACCATACCCAAGGGTTCAGCCCTCTCCCTCCCAAGGTAGGCCACGTCCTCACTCTCTTCCCTGAAGGTAGTTGGGCTGAGACAGCCTTCAGCATCCAGACTGGCCTCAAGCTCCTGACAAGTTAGTATAAGTCAAAGGGGCCACAGCTCCGTCTCTCACCCACAAAAAGGCTCTGCTCTCCGAAGGCAGGGTTCTCAGCTATTGCCTTGCCGTCTGCTCCCCAGAGCCCAGGCTGGTACACTCAGAAACTCTAGGCTACTCCTGGATCTTCTCTGCCGCTAAACACTACCGAGCACCCAGTGAGTGCTGGGTTTTGTGGGAGCCTCATTCCCCTCTCCCAGCAGTAGGAGAGCTTTCAAAGATGCATGCCTGGGAAGAGCCAAGGAATGAGCTGCTGCAAAGGGTACAAGGTGACAGAGCTGGGGACCCCACTTCTCTCACTCAGAGAATGGTTTCCAGACAGCCAGGATATTCTCGTCAACTTAGTTCTGAGCTACCTAAGTACCTACTGTCTGGGACAGAGGAGCCTCGACCACCACCATTATAACCCCAGCTCTGCCCCAATCCACAACCCAGGTTACAGAAGCACTAACCAATGCATTGGAATCTTCCATGCATTTTAGGCAGGCACATCAGGTATGCAGAATGACTGAATGAGTGACCCAATAAATGAGTGAATGAATGAATCACCTAACCTAACTCCTTGATCACGTGGGTTTAAAACCAGGCCTGGAAAAGTTAAGAGTGGCCTGAGTTAAAAGGTAAATAAATGCAGGACTAGCTCCCAGACTTCTCAACTAGGCTTTGGAGGCTCGATCTGCCAATGGTCACCTGGATCCCCAGCCCAAGCAAGTAGGTGTACCCAGCAACATCCCCTCCCTGCCAAGCCATTCTTCAAATCTTTCAGACCTTCAGATACAGAGGACACAGGAAGCAGAGCCTACAGAGCAATCCCTCCCAGCATCCCCACTCCATAAACTGAGATCTCATTCTAACAGCCTGCTCTTAACTCCTGGTGTGATGGGGCTGGGGGTAGGGGGGGTGTCCTGATTTCTGAGAGCCTCAAGTCACAGCCACCCTACTCCTACATCCAGCCATGTCTAACACTCCTTCCCAGAAGATCCTGCTGACTTCGAACCAGAGAGTACCCAGGCCTACCTAGTCAGGCCATGCCAGAGGCTGCAGTGGAATGGCTTGAACCATAACAAAATGGAGCTCCCAACTTTCAGCCCGAGCATTCCTCCAAGGCTGCAGGGGGACCAGGCCCCAGCCTCTTCCCACCGCCTCTGCCCAAGCTGGAGACTTCACAGAAGAGATTCCCTTAGTTGTGCAACTGGTTAGGATTTTAATAGCTGTCCACCGTAAAAACCTTATGGCTGGTTCTCACCTAGTAACCCAAGACTAAAAATGCAACCTACGACTTAGAAACTTAAGAATGTAAGCAGCTGATCTAAGTTCCCCAGCCAAATACTCTCCCCCATGTGCAAGGCAGAGAGAAAAACCTGGGGCAGCATCCCATCTGTGCGTCTGACCTCAACATCTCTGGCTACAGCAGCCAGCAAAACCAGGCCCAGCCCTGGCTGCCCTCCAGGGAGTCAGGAGATTCCCACCACAGGGGCTTCGCCGGTTAGCACCCTCATATCCTTACACAAAGGTGATGTTTTTCACTCCTTTTTTTTGTTGTTGTTTTGGGGTTTTCTGGTTTGGCCGGGGGAGAGGAGGGTTAGATTTTTGCTTTGGAGTGTTTTTTGGGGTTTTTTTTTTTTTTTTTTTGGTTTTGTTTTACAGAAACGTTTTGGGTGAGTAACCAAGCTGTGAGTTTCCGATTGGCAGGTTAATCACTTCCTATTGGCTGATCTGGAGAACTTTTCTCCCCCTTGGAAATGGCACATTCCTGTCTTTGTGGCTTCTCTGTTTGCACACATTTTGCTACCTAATGTCAACACTTGCTAATGAATAAATATATCACTCCACTCACTGAAAATGAGGTCCTGGCCTGAGAGGGTGACTGCTTGAATCCGGTGAACAGATCTGTCCAGGTATCTCTGCAGGAAACCCAAGAGAATGTGGTCCTTCTTTCCTAGGACTTTAGGAAATTTCTCAGAACACTTCGCCCTCGTCTTCTTTACCCCTGGGGCCAAGGTAACTGGCCTCCCTCTTTCTCACTTTTAAGGAAAACCTCCAAATTTGAAGACTATGGAAGGGAAAACAAAAACAGGACAGAGAGAGCCCCTTGGAGAACTAAGCTCATAAAAGAATTCTTGAGTATTGATGCCAAAAACCCAGTCAACTTACATTCTTGGAGAAAACAGAGCTTGGTAATTCCAGTTAACATTTGTTACAAATACAGAGCTGCTTATCTCCTCATTAATGACTATTTATCTGGTGTTTTGTAAATCGAAAGCAAAATATCACATGCTTTGGAGGCCACTTACTAGACAGGCACCAGGCAAGCAGCAACACCTTCCGAGACTGGAGGGATCGTGTAGTTGGGGAGGGCTGGCTGGAGAGCATGGGCTTCTCTTACACCGTTCATTAAAGTATTTAACTCTGGACAACGCCCCAGCAAGACTTTTAATTAGTGGGGGAAAGGCCCAACAGCCAAAACTCATGAGGCGGAAGGACTTGTAGAATTCCAAGAGGGAAATGGGGCCCAACCCTTCACTTTTCCTTCTCCCAGAACCTTGGCAAAATAAAAATGTCAAAAGCGTTGCATTTGTCAGGCACCAGTGTAGACAAAAGTCACAATCCATACTTTCAAGCAAACGAACCTCCCGCTGTAAGAAGGGGCTCCAGGAAACAAGGGCCCATCGAAGTTGTCACCCTCGAGTCCCCGTTTTTCAGACCCTCCTCCCCTGGCACTGTCAACCTCTGCACTGCCAGCCAGAAGTTGAATGCAGACAAGCGCAACTGAGGTGGTGCCAGTCTCAAGTGGGGGCTTCTGCCCTGGCCCCGTGCCAGCCTGTGACAAAGCACCAGGCAGGCAGAGCTCCGCTAGAAACTTTTATAGCCCTCACCAGGAACTCCGAGAAAACCAGGAGGGGGCTGTGGACTTTAACTTCTTAAATTTTCTAATCTCTTGCTCCAAACCAAGGTCCGTCTCAGCACTTTTAAAACTGTCTTCCCTCCCCCATCGGGTTATCCATTCTTCCCACTGAGATACTTCTGGCACTCACAAAGTCTCCGACGTTGCCCATCAACCTGTCCTATTTGGCTCCCAAGATGCTTCGGCGTGGATCAAATTCCACGTGTTAAAAGCTGAGCCAACTTGGGTTATGGAGTGCAAATACATGAAAAAAGGAACAAAATGGAAATATCTAGGAAACAAACATCTTTGCAAAAAGATTATATGTATACACACACACACACACACACACACACACACATTATCGCCAGCTCCAGTCACAACAAAATCCACCAAACTTCCAACATCGGCAACCTATAACAACCTCGGGGAAAGTCCAGCGTCTCCCCACGCCGCTGCCTAGGCATACACATCCGCGTTCTAGAGACTCCATTTCTAACTTAAGATAGGAAGGATATTTTAAAAATCATCTACTCACCAGTTGGTTTGAGAAAATCCATCGGGTATCTGGAGTAAGGAGGAGGGGGAGACTCTGGAATTAAAAAAGAAAGAGAAAATAAAGGCCGAGCCATGAGAAAGAGATAGAAACTTATGATAACAGAGGCATTCTTTTAGCCCAACTGTTTGTCTTAGCTGTGGGGGTTGGAGGCAGGGCCGCGAGGCGGTGATTGCCTTGATATTTAGCTGTCAGATAAACAAAAGAGGCCGCCTGGCGCCAGCCTCGGCGCTCCGCTCCTCCACGTCTGCGGCCGCCGCCGCCGCCGCCGCCGCCGCCGCGGCGCTCGGCCGGCCGGGCTGGAAACCACCGGCTCGGCCGCAGCTCGGCCGAGGCCGCTCACTTCACAGGGCTGCAGGGCCACAAAGCCCCCTCCCCGTCCCAGAACTTCACACCCCACTCCCACCGCCCCACCCCACCCCCCCCCCGCCCCGACCCGTCCCCCAGGGTTGCAATTCACCTCCGCCACCGCTGCTCCGCTCCGCACCCGCGCGGGGAACACGGGCTTCCCCTTTGCCAGCCCACCTGGGAGGTGCACCCCAAGAGCGCTGGTGAACTTGGAGTTATGGGCGCCCGAGGTGCACCCCGCCCCCGCACAAAGACGTAGAGAAAAGGGAATGGAGGAGGCCAGGAGGATAAAGAGGAGGCGGCTGGGGTCTCAACTGAGAAGCCCAGGCCCCAGGGGCAGCATCCTCACGGAGGCGCTGGGGGCAGACCATTCTAGTCAGTAACTGTGCTTTCCTGTGCTGGAAGAAAGGAAAAAGCAGGGGGCACCCAACTTCTCCTGACTGCTTGCTCTCTTTCACCCTGGGGTGGCACAGTTTAGAGCAGATATCCAGCGCGACCTTCCATCCTAACTCTCTTTGCCTCAAAACCCAAAGCTGCGCCGGCCAGGGCAGTCTCCCGGCCCCTTGTGCCCGACGTGACCCTCTTTATTTACTAAAGGAGAGCCTTACTCTCTAGCCTTTACGACTGCTTCTCCCAGCCTTCCTCGGCGGCCTTGGACCGAATCCAACTCGGCCACACACCTCAACGCCTTTCCCAGAGCGGGGGGGGGGGGGGGGGGGGCGTGACCCCCACTTCTCTCTGCACCCCTTGGCTAATCCGGAAATGAGGGCATCTAATCTTTAACCCCCTGTGTGTAGAGTGTGTGCGTGAGCAATGCCCAAAGCCTCCCCTGCGTCCCGGGGCAACAGAGAATAAAAGTGGAAGGGAACCCCCAGGGAATACCTTTCCAGTTTCCCCTAGTCCCTTCTCGACCCTTGTCCCCCACGTCTCTTCCCAGGAGGAGATGTACACTCCCCTCCGGCGAGGTAGCTGCACAAACACACAGCCCAACGGGGCTTTTCTTGCACCACCTGAGCGCCAGAAGGAGGGGAGGGTGGGCGCAGAACAACTTCCTACCTAGTTCGCAGAGTCGGCTAAGGTGATGGGGGTTGCAGCACACCAGCTCGGGGTTGATCTTCCCGTAAGATTCACAGCAACACAGCCTCTTGACTTCCGAGGAATGCCTGAGATCCGGCCACCTGAACACTTTGCACAGCAGGAGGGGGAGCGAATAGGACGAGGGCGGCTGCGCGGGTTGCGAGCCGGAGGGCGCCCCCAGGCCCAGCCTGCAGTCCAGGCGGCCAGGCAGCAAGAGGCACGCGGTGCGCGTACCGCCGCGGGACTCCACGGCCTGGAGCAGCAGCTCCAGCTGCCGTTCCTTCAGTTTCTTGAGCACCGAGTGCGTGAGCGCCTTCAGATCCGCCTCGGCGCCCCCGGCCGCGCCGGAGCCCGCGGCTGGGGGGTGAGGATGGTGGTGACCTTTGGCACCTCGCACCGCCTTGCCCAGGCAGCAGCCAGCCCTGCCTGCGCCGCCGCCACCGGCCCCATGCGCCCGGCCGTCCGTCGCCCCTTCTCCCCGCAGGTCGCCTCCTCCTCCGCCTCCCCCAGCGCCCTCCTCCTCGTCCTCGCCGCCGGGCGCACGGCTCCTCCAGAGACGCCGGACGAGCGCAGATCGTTTGGTCCTGAACATGCGGGGCGAGGAGGCGAGGAGAAAAGTCGTTTGCCGGCTAAGGAGCGAACATGACCTCCGCACACCATGAAGAAGTCGGGTGCCGAGTTGGGGCAGCAGGCGCAGGCGACAGCAGCAGCAGCAGGGGCCCTGGCAGGAGCGGCGGCGGCCCGAGGGGCGCTCCGTGGCATGCGCCAGTCTCCCGGAGGCCGGGGCGCGCGCGGGGGCCCGGGGGCGCCCGCCGGGGCTCGGGGGCCTGCGCTCCGGCTGCCCCACCCCTCGCGGCCCGCGCCGTGCGCCGCTCTCGGGCCCCGGCGCACCCCGGAGGAACGCGGCCGCCGCTTCCCTGGGGGCGGCGAAGCCTACCCCGGTCGGCGCCTCCCCCAAAAGAGGCCCCCCCGCAGCGGCTCCCGAGTGTCGGGCTCGCCAGCCTCGGCTGCCTACATGGAAGATCCGCGAGGTCAAAAAACGAAAGGCGTTCGGCTGGGCTGCTGGAGGGAGGAAAAAGCCTCTTTCCCCCTTGCTAAGCAACTTAATTTGGGGGTGGGGAGAAGCTGGCAATTAAAAAAAAAAAAAAGCAGGCACGCGATTTATTTTTTTCCTCTATATCCTTAGTAACCGGATCGCCTTGAATTCCGTACACACGAAGACTCGAGGGAGGGGGCTGAGTGGACTTCACCCCGCATGAGATGTCTGGCGAAATAAGGAAGCTCTCTCAAAATCTAAGAACCAAACATGCAAAGCCCAAAATGAAAAACACCACCTCCTCGCACCCCGGAGGCCTGGGGGCGTCCGGCTGGACCTGGGGTTTAAAAAAAGAAAATGTTTACAAAGTAGAACTAGACGTTTGAGGGGTGGAAAAAACGTATCCACGAGTTACATCCCCCTTTTTTCCTTGCAGAGCCCCGCTGGTCTTCCTCTCCTTTTCTTCTGCCAACAACAACAACAACAAAATCGTATTTTTTTAATCCACAGAAAGCTTTGGCTAGGCTGCTTCAATCCTTCGCATCTGGGTGATTTAGGGTAGTCTCTGGTCTTTCCTCTTGCGCTCCCGGGGGCCCCAGTCCTCAGCGGGGACTTCCTCGGAGCTGGCGGGGGCGCAGGGGCAGAAGATGCTGCGGCGGCGGCTGCGCCCCGCGGGGCTGACAGCGCGGGGGAGGGCGGCGCGGCGGCCGCGGCGGGCCGCTGGCCGCCCTCTGCTCTCTAGTGCGGGACCCGCCGGCGCCCCCTCCCCTGGCCGCGGCCGGCCGCTGGGGCTCCCCGTATGGGCTGCTCGCCCCGACTCGGCTGCGGCGGCCGGAGGCCCCGGTGTCCCTCACGCCGCCTTCTCCTCCGAGACTCTCCTCGTCGCGGTCGGGAGCCTCCTTGTCCCCCGCCCGCCCTCTCCTGGCGCTCGGGTCCTTCTGCTGCCGCCGGGGGCTCGCCGCGCCGCACTCAGGGGCTCCTGGGCCGTGCGCTCGGAAGCTCGGCGCCGGCGGGCTGGCTCTGTCTCGGGCAGCTCTCTCCGGCGCGGCGAGCGGACCGAGCACGGCGCCCGGCTGGCTCGGCTGGCGCGGCTCG